GGGCGATCGCGGTCGCGATCGCGGACATCGCCGCAGGGTGGCGCCGAGGCGGCGCCCGCGGAGAAGGCGCGCCCGACGAGGGCGGTCGTCATCAGGCGGTGGGCACAGCCCCATTGGAGGAGCGGCGCAGCGGACCAGCTGCTCGAGAAGCTGAGCATGGCCCCCGCGATGTCGACGCGGCTGAACGCCATGAAGTTCGCCGAAACGTCCGAGGCCGCCGACGCGGTGGAGGACGGCGACGGCGACGACGACGACGACGACCACAGGACGACAAAGGCTCGGTCGACGACCGGACATTCGCCCAGCAGCACTACAAGAACATCGGCGCCGACGACAGCTACATTGGCGACGATGGCCACACGGGCGACGGCAGCTACACGGGCGACGGCAGCTCCAGGGGCGACGGCAGCTACGCGGGATACGGCGGCTACAAGGGCGACGGCAGCTACGCGGGATACAGCAGCTACAAGGGCGACGACAGCTACGGCGACGGCGGCTGGGCCAAGCGCAATAAACGACGGCAGCTACAACGACGGCAGCTACGACGACCGCAGCTACACGCGCTACAAGGGCGGCGGCGGCTACATGCGCGACGGTAGCTACACGGGCGAATGCAGCTACCAATGCGACGCCGCCGCATTGGTTGCCAGCGCAAGGGCTCGCGCCGCCGCCCAAGGCAGCAGCCCCAGCGGCCCCAGCGGCCGTGGCTGAGGTCGCACCAGTCGCAGCGGCAGTGGCTGCCGACAAGGCGCCTGTAACCGAGGACGCGGCAGCGCCGCCTGGTGGGCCCTCCTCGTCGGATGAGGAAGCTGCGTTGCGCAAGAGCATTTCGACTCGCGCCGCACTGCGCCGCCCTACTGCGGCCACCGACCCCCCCCCGACGTGGACGAGGATGACGCGGTGCGCCGGCGGCCAGCCGCGCGCGGCGGCCCAGCACCGAAGGAAATTAAAGTCGCCGCGAAGGCTGCCCAGAAGGAGCCCGCCGCGGCGAACTCCACCGCGAAGCCGTCGAAGCTCCCAGCGCCGCCCATGGGTGAGGGGGCTCCGCCCCTGCATTACAGGGTGGGCACCGTGACCACGAACTGGAAGATGAGCACCTACAGGGCCATCGCGGGGAGAGCGGACATACGGGTCCGCTGGGACACGGGGAACTGCACCCGCCGCGAGGCGTTTGCAAAGGCGCTCGCGTTCATTGACGATCGGTCGCGGATTGTGATCGTAATGCTTGACTGCGTCGCGTCAGCCTTCTACAGCGGCGATAGGCTCGCCTTATGCTGACATGCTAGGACGCACGCATACATGATTGAGTCGTTGGGTTATACGCGTTGTTAGTGCCGCGCGTCTCGTTGCAGTCCCACGGTTTTGGTCTGCCTCGCCGCAAAAATCAGAGCCACCAGCGTTGACTCAACTAAGGTGGCATGGTCGACAAATACTGCATTTTGCTAGGGTCTACCCACACCGACGATTATACGGTACTCTGCGCAACTCCACGCCATCCATCACGGTCTACCCGGATACAGCGCAGCGAGCGGAAGTCCTATAGGAAAGATGTTTGCATACTGTGTCGTGTACGTCGTACAAGCCCACTGCCGTTCAACTCATGCGCATGCACGCCAGTCATGCCATGCATGTGCCACGCATCATATCAATTGTACCGTCCGTCTGTGATAAGACGGGGTCGCGTTTGTTGAGATTGGCTAAGTATTCGTATGGCCAGCCGTGTTGTTTGACCGAGCCTCGCGGGCATTGCAACTGATGCAAGCACGCAGGCACGCCATGCAAGTCATGCATATCTGCGTTGCTGGGCCAACACCTGTGGAACACGTGACCATTGACGAGGTCGTGTGCGATGCAACGACATTCACAAAATGGCGCGTGCTGCGGAGCGCCCTTATCCGTGTTGTCCATGCGATACATACAATCGGTGCGTCGCAATCAGTTTATAACATCCGTAGCCGGTTTGGCCCCAGTCGATGGCATGGCGTCGCCGACGCCACAAAAGCGACCCGCGCCTCGCACGGCGGACGCCGAAGCCCTCGTCGAGATCCACCGCGGACGGTGCATCTCCGAACGAGGACTTTCTCACGCATTCAAATATACCAGAGACAATGGCATGCCAGATGCAGTCTCAAGGGCTGCGCAATATCGTGCAAAGGAGGTGGTCGTTGCTAAAGAAACGGCGCCTTACGGACACTTGCTGCAATGCATTGGCATGCAATTCGAAAACGACCAGCCATCTCAAAACTGGGCGTGTTCACCAGGACCCGTGCTTTATGCCACGTGCAAGGCTAGCAGCGGGTTCAGGTCGTTGATGCGACAGCAGCTGTGTAGGTACCCGTGTACGCCAGCACGTCCATGGCGAATTTGCCTTTATGTCGACGGGATCTCGCAACGAGACCCATTGGCCAAAGGCAAAGATTATAGAGGGGTCGATGCTATCTAGTGAAGCTTCCTTTCCTGGAGTTCGACGAGCATCTCTCCAACGAAGACGCGTGGTTTGTATTGTCCGCAGCAAGAGTTACCATGGTGCGCAAACTTCCAGGCGGCAGCGGCTCCCCGCCCCGACGCCACGCGAAAACTCTCGCCCCAGGCGGCCCCCCGAGGAGGAGGCCCGACACCACGCGAAAGCCCCGCCCCCGCCCCGACACCACGCCAAAACACCCCCCCCTCGGGAAGCTCCCGGCCGAAGGCCCCTCGCCGCGGGAGGGCCTCCGCCCCGACTCAACGCGAAAACTCCGGCCCCGGGAAACCCCCGGGGGAGGCCCGACACCACGCGAAAACCCCTCGCCCCGACTCCTCGCGAAAACTCCCGCCCCGGACAGCCCCGGGCGACGGCCCGACGCCGCGCAAAGGCCCCCGCCCCGACGCCACGCGAAAACTCTCGCCCCGGGCGTCCCCCCGAGGAGGAGGCCCGACACCACACGAAAGCCCCGGGGAGCCCCCCGCGGAGGCCCGATGCCACGCGAAAACCCCAGCCCCGACTCCGCGCGGACGAACCCGCTCCGGGCCCCGGCGCCACGCGAGAAGACTCGCTCCGGGCCGACACCACGCGAAAACTCCCGGCCGGAAGGGCTTGCGGAGGCCCGACTCCAGACGCTGCGGACGCCCACGACGCCCCTGACGCTCCCGACGCTCCCGACGCTCCTGACGCTCCTGACGCTCCCGAGCTTCCGCAGCTTCAGGAGCTTCCGAATCCTCGGAGGGGCAAAGGCTGACGCTCCCGACGCTTCCGACGCTCCGGAGCTTCGGGAGCTCCGCCCCGACGCCACGCGAAAACTCTCGCGGACCCGCTCCGGGCCGACACCACGCGAAAACATCCAGCCGGAAAGGCGCTCGGAGACCCGACTCCAGACGCTCTGGACGCCCCCGACGCTCCTGACGCTCCCGAAGCTCCCGACGCTCCCGACGCTCCTGACGCTCCCGACGCTCCCGACCCCGACACCACGCGAAAAGACCCGCTCCGGGCCGACGCCACGCGAAAACGCCCATCCGGAGCGGCTCGCGGAGACCCGACTCCAGACGCTGCGGACGCTCCCGACGCTCCCGACGCTCCTGACGCTCCTGACGCTCCCGACGCTCCTGACGCTCCTGAGTCTTCCGACGCTTCCGACGCTCAGGAGCTTCAGGAGCTTCAGAAGCTTCGGAGGGTTGGTGGCACCCGGTGCCCCATCTATGCAAAAAAAGCAACCCGCCACCATGCCATATGGATCTCCATCTGTCTTGAAGATTGCAAATAGTCTTCGGACGAAGATTCGATGCCGTTTCACGACGGCGCCCAGGCTTCCCAACCTAGTTATTGTATATCCCATTGTGGTAACGAAGGGGCTGGCGGCGGAGGGCGAAGCCCTCAAGGATAAAAGGTGACAAATTCAACGAGGAAGAAGGAAGAAGGTGTCGGGCAGGAAGGCAGGGCGGCATGCGGAGGCCAGGAAAATGCAGGGGGTGCTAGCACAGGACGAGAGGAAGAGGCGAAGGGAGACGAGGGGAGTGAACGAGAGGCGTGACCAGGGGAAGTCGTGGAGAACAGAGGGGAGGAGAAGAGGAGCACAGGAGCGGAGGAGAGGGGATACGAGGTGAGGCGACGGGGGAGCAGGAAACGAGAGGTGGAGGGAGGGCAAAGTTAGACTGAGAGAGAGAGAGAGAAAGAGAGAGAGAGAAAACAAACAAAAAAACAGGCAGGCAGACAGACAGACAGAACGACATACAGACAGACAGACAGACAAACAGACAGACAGACAGGCAGGCAGGCAGACAGGCAGACAGACAGACAGACAAACAGACACACACACACACAGACACACAGACACACAGACACACAGACAGGCAGACACACAAACAAATCAACAAACAGACAGACAGTCGCAGGCAGGCAGGCAGACAGACCGGCAGACAGGACAGGCAGGCAGGCAGACAGACAGAATCTGCGCTCGAGGTCTGTCCGCAGACGAGCATTAGCAAGGAGGCATGCAAGCCCGCGCCAGCAACTCGGACAGAGTAGCGACTGGCGCCCACCCTGAGGGATATCCCATACCAGGACTTACAGACAAACACAGACACTGACACAGACACAGACACAGACTCAGACGCAGACGCAGACACAGACACAGACACAGACACAGACGCAGACACAGGCAGGCAGCAGGCTGGCAGGCAGGCAGGCAGGCAAGCAGGCATGCAGGCAGGCAGGCAGGCAAGTAGACGGGAAATAGAAGAGGACAGGGACAGTAACGGGGATAGCAGGCCTGCAGCGCCCCGAGTGCCCCGACAACCCCATGCTGCGGCTGACCCCATCTCTGCTGCGGATGTGTAAGAAAATGTCCTCCTCCTCCTCCTCCTCCTCCTCCTCCTCTTCCTCCTCCTCCTCACCTCCTTATCCAACCTCCCCCTCCCCACCCTCCATCCTCCATCCTCCATCCCCCTCCCCTCTCCTTCCCCCTCCCACCCTCCCGCCCTCCCTCCCTCGTCCGTCCCCAGCCGCAGCTTTGCCAGAGGGCGGCGTCCTCGTGAAGGGCACGGACCTCGCGTGCAGGCGCAGCGATCTGGACCGCGACCGCACCCGCCTGCGGATGTCCTTGCCCCTGGGCTCCCTGTGCTCCCTGGGCAGGCGGTGTTTTGTTTTCTCGGGGCTGGCCCGCAGAGGGAGGCGGCGAGGCGAGGAGAGAAGCCAAAATCCCCCAGGGAGCCTCCACGAGCTTCCAGGTAGCACCTAAGACAGCCTCCGAGGAGTCCCACCGGCACTCTGGGCACTCGTGGTTTCAGGGATGAGCGTTTCCGGGCCAGTTTCTCCCCCCTTCTCAGTGTCCCAGGACTTCTCCCCTCGCTGACCGCGCAAGGAGGGTAGCTCGCACACAAGCACACGTGCAGACGCAGCGTCGGCCGCGCAATGATGTGTGCTCATGTGTCTGCCGATTGGACGCGTTGCCGATGTCAGAGCCTGACGGAATGGATGCGTTGCCGAACCCTGGGCTCGACGTAGCCTCAACCTCGTCATTGGGTCATCTTGGCGTCGTTTGGGCGATGTAGTGAGGTCAATGGGGCCATCCGCACCCTGGCGACCAGTTCTCGATTGGGAGGGGTTGGCGGGAGCTCTTGGGGCTATCTTGGCAGAGAGGGAGAGAGAGAGAGAGAGAGAGCGTCGACAACATCCTGAAGCCCATGGATGCTACCTGAGATTGCATGCAATCACGTGGTCTCGGGTCTGGGTCCACCACGAATCGGAGCAATCTGTGCAACGCCAGCACCTGGATGAACCAATGGATGCACGGGCGGGTAACCTCTGAGTCGAGTAGAAAATCTAAGAACTGAGCAAACAGTACTCCGACAGAAGGACTCCAGATGAGAATCGCCTTAATGTGAATCAGACTCACCCTCACAGACCACTAACGGTGGTGATGATCCCAAGGTGCGGCGCCGTGTGGGACATCTGAGACCTGTGGGGCCCGTGGGAACTGTGCGACCTGTGGAGCTTGTTGGACCTGCAAGCTTCATAGGGAGGGGGCTCCCGCCTGCGATTTCCTCGCTATGCACTCACAGACGAGGACCCCCGCCCGAGACTTCCTCACGATTTGGACCAGTGAGTTGCTCAAGTGCTACGCCTGCTACAGTAAGCCAATGACCCGCTCGGATTTCAAACATGATCTGCGAGCTCCATCGGGGGGGGGTTCCCGCCGGCGTCTTCCTCGCACTTCACACAGACGAAGCCCCAGACATCCTCACGATCTGCGCCCTTGGGTGCTCCAGTGCTATGCCTGGCACAGTAAGCCAATGACCCGCTCGAATTACCAACATGATCTGCGAACCCCGTAGGGAGGGGGCTCCCGCCTGCGATTTCCTCGCAATTCACTCACAGACGGGGCCCCCGCTCGAAACATAATCGCGATTTGCCCCCTTGTGGTGCGCCAGTGCTGGGCCTGCTACAACAAGCTAATGACCCGCTCGGATTACTAACATGATCTGCGGGCGCCATCGACAGGGGGCTCCCGCCTGAGGCTTCTTCGCAGTTCACTCACAGACGAGGCCCCCACTCACGACATCCTCACGATCTGCGCCCTTGGGTGCTCCAGTGCTATGCCTGGCACAATAAGCCAATGACCCGCTCGACTTACTAACACGATCTGCGGGCCTCATAGGGAGGGGGCTCCCGCCTGCGACTCCTTCGCAATTCACTCACAGACGAGCCCCCCCCCACTCGCAACATCCTCACGACTTGCCCACTTGGGGTGTTCACGTGTTATGCCTGCCAAAGAGAGCCTACGATCGACTCGGATTACTCGAACGATCTGCGGGCTCCATAGGTGGAGATGATGTCAGGATGCGATGACCTTTGAGACCTGTAAAGCCTGTGGGAACTGTGCGACCTGTGGAGCTTGTTGGACCTGCGCGCTCCATAGAGAGGAGGCTCCCGCCGGAGACTTCCTCGCAGTTCATTCACCGACGAGGCCCCCGCTCGAAACATCATGACGATGTGCCCCCTTGGGGTGTTGAAGTGTTATGCCTACCTCAATGTAATGCAGGGAAACGATTACAAAAAATCGCCCATCCCCCCCCCCGGGACCCCCCAAAATGATTGAGTGGGGCGGACTAACAGAATTCAGCCGCCGGAAACTGTTTTTTTTATCGTCCGCCCCCCGGCGTTTGCTTTTGCCCCTTTGGGGGTCCTCCTTCGCTCGCTTGATCACCCGCGGCCGCGGGGGGAGGATTGCGGAGGGGGGACGGGGTAATTAGGGAGTAGTGGAGGGAAGGGGTTTTCGAAGAGGCGCTTGATCACCCTCGTCCTTGCGGACGGCCGCCGGTCGTCATTGCGGACGGCCGCGGCGATTGGGAGGTGGGGGATGAGGAGGAGGAGGAGGAAGAGGAGGAGGGGGGAGGACAAGCTAGGTGCGCTCGCGTCATATATGACAGCCTACCCCTCCCTCCCCTCCCTCCCATCCCTTACGAGGAGGAGGAGGAGGAGGAGGAGGAGGAAAAGGAGGAGGAGGACGAGGAGGAGGAGGAGGAGGAGGAGGAGGACGAGGAGGAGGCGGAGGAGGAGGAGACGAGCTCGCCCTGAAAAATCACCCCGTCCACCCCCCTGGCCCCCGCGCCCTGGATCGTCACCCCGTGCCCCCCCCCCTGGCCTTCCAGGCAACCCGGAATTGTCAGCCCCCCCGTCTGCCTGCCCTGCCCCCCCGCTATTGCGGGGGCGAGGAGGCCCGCGAAACAATTTTTTTAATCGTCCGCCCCAAAAAGTTTTTGAATCGTTTTCCTTCATTACCAATGACCCGTTCCGCTTGAAAGTTCCTCGCAATTCACTCACAGACGATGCCACCGCTCGAGGCACCCTCACGATTTGCCTCGTTGGGGCGCTCAAGTGCTATGACTGGACACTACGCCGATGACACGCTCGGATTACTAACATATAATCTGCGGGGACTCCCGCTCGAGGCGTCCTTACGATTTGCTCCCTTGGGGTGCTCAATGGCTATGCCTGGACACTACGCCGATGACCAGCTCGGATTACCAACATGAGTTGGAGACCCCATAGGGAGGGGGCTCGCGCTCGAGACGCCTTTACCATTCATTCACAATCGAGGCCCCCGCTCGAGAAACTCTCACGATTTCCTCCCGTGGGGCGATCAAGTGCCATGCCTGCTACACTACGCAGGTGACCCGCTCATATTACCAATATGATATGGAGATCCCAACGTGATTGGGCTCCCGCATGAGACTTCCTCGCAATTCACCCACAAACGAGGCCCCCGATCAAAACATCCACCCGATTTGCCCTTGGGGTGCTCAAGTGGTGCAATGACTGCTACACTACGCCGAGGACCCGCTCAGATTACCAACATGAAGGCGGGGACAACATGGGGAGGCTCCCGCTCGAGACGTCCTCGCGATTTGCCCCCTTAGGGTGCTCAAATGCTATGCCTGCTACAATACGCCGATGGCCCGCTCGGACTACCAACATGAGATGGGGACCCCATAGGAACAGTGTTCCCGCCTGAAACTTCCTCAGTTCACTCACAGAGGAGGCTCCTGCTCGAGACTTTCTCAAGATGAGTATGCGAGTGCGTGTGTGAATCAGTGTGCAACTATGATGATGATGATGATGATGATGATGATGATGATGACGACGGGGATGATAGCGATTAAGATGATGATGGTGATGATAATAATGAGGAGGATGAGGATGAGGATGAGGAGGAGGAGGAGGAGGAGGAGGAGGATGAGGATGAGGAGGAGGAGGATGAGGAGGAGGAGGAGGGGGATGAGGAGGAGGAGGATGAAGATAATAATGATGATGATGATGATGATGATGATGATGATGATGATGATAATGATAATGATGATGATGGTGATGATGATGATGATGATCAATGCTCATGATGGGCTGATGATAGAGAACATAAGGACGATGGTGGTGCCATGATGATAGTGATCATCATGGTGCTGGTGATGGTGCCCTGGCGCGCGGAGCGCGCCAGGGGCGCCACTGGAGGCGCCGCCGTGGGGGCCCAGCGCCGACGCAAGAAATCCGCGCGTATCGCAGCAAGATTCTGCTGGTGCCACTTTCTGTTCTTCGATCCAGGTCCAGCCTGCCTGGAGAGTAGTCGCACGGAGGAGATCTACTGACCCGGGCCAGTGCAAACTCCGATCAGTCAGGCTTTGCAGGATCCTGCAGGATCCTGCACGCAAGCTCAGGTCGATGCACCCCTCGCTCTGCAGGATCCTGCAAGATCCGGCGCCCTGGCCGACCCCTGCCCCAAGGCTCCCGCTTCGGGTCCTGACTCGGACCTCCGGCGGCCGTAGGGGCCGATCTGGGCACCCCCAGAACGCCCTTGCCCGGGCGCAGCCGCTGGAAGGCACCCCGAGGCAGAAAGGCCGCCGAGAGCCGACGAAAGCGTCGGAAGCCCTCGGACCTCAAACCCCCTTCCTTGACGTTGAGACGAAGCAAGGACGAGGGTCAGCTCGGACGAAGATCAATCAGAGAATCTCTGAGGTCTGGCGGCTCTGGGGGATGTCTCGGGCGCCGCGGCCTTCCCAGAGCGTCCCAGAACGCTCTGGGAGCGTTCCGGAACGCTCTGGAACGGATTTGTCCTCGTCCTGGCCCCGCCCGATCACGTTGCCCCGAAGTCCGTTGCCCCGAAGAAGGCAACGCCCCTCCCCGCCAGGCCTCCGCGGCCGATCCGCGGCGGCGGGGCCTCCGCCGCGGCCGTCGGCACCGCGCGCCGCCTCGCGCGCGTCGCCGGGGGGCACGGCGTCCTCCTCGCCATGCGCATAGCCGCAAGCGGCGCCGCGGGTGCAGCGGCCCTCCTGGGATCCCGCTGTCCTCCTCCTCCTCCTCCTCCTCCTCCTCCTCCTCCTCCTCCTCCTCCTCCTCCTCCTCCTCCTCCGACGACGACGACGACGACGACGACGACGACGACGACGACGACGACGACGACGACGACAACGACAACGACGACGACGAACTCGACGTTGTAAAAAACACGACGCCAGAGTTCAGGTGCCTCCGGCCGCCCCCTGCCGCCGCGAGCGACTAACTTTTCCACCGTCGGGGGCGTCTGCCCCACGGGCGGCTGCAAAGCTGATGCCCCCACGCGGCACCGTAGGAGTAGAAACTACGCAACCGCCTGAGGGGCATGCGTCCCCGGCGGCGGAACACCCTCTTCCCTCCCCCCACCCCTTCCCAATCCAGGGGGCCTAATTTCGCGTTTCGCGCTGCGCGAGCCGCGAAGCGCGAATAATTTCGTGTTCTCGCGCCGCCCCCCCAGGGGAGAAGAGGAGGATGAGGAATCAGAGCCGGACCGCGAAGCGCGAAGCGCGAATAATTTCGCGCCCTCGCGCCGCCCCCCAGGAAAGAAGATGAGGATGAGGAACAATCGAAACCGAACCGCGAAGCGCGAAGCGCGAATAACTTCATTCCCTCGAGGGCGCCGTTGCAGTTGCTGTGCGCCTTCCCTCCACCTCCCCCCGCGTCTCCTTCCAATACACGCAGATCGACCGTTTCCGGCCTCCCGTCTGCGGCGGAGGCTCCATCCTGATGGCGCCGGCACCAACTGGTGCCCCAGGAGCAACCATCCTGGCCAGCCGGGAGGGATAGAGTGGAGATCGGCGGCAAGCTCGGGGGGGAGTGAGACGCCGAACACATTTATAACTACACACAGAAAAACTGCGCCTTGTTGCGGGGACCAGGGGTGGCAATCATAATTAAAGTTGGCGCGTCGGTCGGCCTGGGTGGACGGACACTGCCTCACGACCTACGATGGAAGGCGATGGTCGTGCCGACGACGTTGCGTGCGATCACCACGTTTCACGGCGAGGCTTTGCGGCAGCCGCAGAAGAAATTAAGACACGAACAAGCGTTTCACCCTCGGACGGGGAATCTGGCACGAAAAAGAACTCGAAAGCGCGGGGGGTCGGATCGCGAATTTGCTGCTGGGGCACAGGCGGGGGAGGGACGCGGGCTGCGCGAGGTCGAGGCCCCCAGGCATACGGCTGGCTTCGCTGAGCCAGGGGATGCGGGCGATCGGTGGGAAGCGGCCCAGGGGGCGGGGCCTCGGAAATGGGCAGCGCGGGCAACTGATGCTTCGCGAAAAAGGGACACGCACAAAACAGCACTTGGCGGCCAGGGCGCGGCACACGTTGGGAGCGCGAGTGGCGGCACCCGGCATGCACCCCGCCCCTATGGATAGGTGTAGTTATATAAGTGCTCCGTTTTGTGAGGGTGTCTCCGGCGAAACCAGCACGTACAGAACTACACCTAGTGCCAGGCTGAACGTTAAATCTGAACGCGCTGGATGTTTCGCGCGGGGCGAACACGTACAGACCGACACCTAGCGAAAGGGACGGGGTACAGGTCGGGTGCGTCGCCGCGCCCCGCCCGCAGAGTGAGGAAGTCAAGGGCCGCTGAAACCCGGCCGGCCTCTGGGCTGAGGTGTCTGAACGTCCCAAAGCTATCCGAAGGAATTCCAACTGCGGCCTCCGCCCACATCGCTCCCCCTATCAGAACATCTCGCCTGATCACTATGTTCCCCATTCCCGCCCGCTGCTTTGCCCTCCCCCTCCCCCGTTCTTATTCGACCTGCCGCCCTCCATTTCCCCGAGCGTTTCCCAATTGCCCCTGGCCCCTGCGCGGCGGCAAACACCCGCGCACCCCCGCAGCTGAAAGACTCACCTTGCGCTCATCCTCCAATCCACTCGTGAGGCGCAAGTCTTGATTCCACACTGACACTGGCAAGCGACGTCGGGGCCCCGGCAAATCCGACAGGCGCGATGGGCCCCCTCGAGCGGCGGGCGAACCAACACGGAAGACGATGTCGCAAAAGTAAACTCGGAATTCTGGGACCCGCGCAAGGAGCTGCTCCACTCGCCCAAAGTGTAGTGATGTGCCTGTCCGAAGAAGGGGCGGGCCTTCTCAGAAGGCTCGGAAGTCCCGATGACCCAAGCGATTGGGCGAAGAGTGGGGTCTGCATGCCAGTAGCAGTCAGTCTGCGAGGATCAACTACTACCAGGCGAGGCTCGCCCCGCTCCCCCTCCCTGTTCTCCACCCCGCTGCCCAACGTCACCTCTCCCCGTTGACCTACCCAACCCACGTAAGCGTTCTGCTGTCGACATTGAGCGAAAAGGAAAGGGCGGAGGGGGGGGGGCTGGCTCCAGGCTGGCGCTGAATCGAAATGTGTTTGCTTTGCTGATTGTGCTGCTTGCATGGTACAGCTCAAAAAGAATATTACTACAGCTGCCTATAACTCTTATCAGATCCTGATACAGCTGGCCACAAGTCTGGCACGATCCGACTGCTGATTTCCACAGCTCAAACGGGCTCCTATTACACGATGCTACAGCTTGGGTAGCTGGCTACAGGTCTCACTACAGCTGGCTACAGCTCTGATAGGATCCTTACCCGACGATAGCTGGCTGCACCCTAAAAGGATCCGACTTCAGCAAGCCAATTCCAATAGGTCCTACTACAGCTGGCTCCCGCTGTCATAGGTTCCTGCTACAACTAGCGTGAAGTCAACAAAATACCATAAGGCAATTGCTTGCAGGTCTAACCGGAATCTACTACAGCTGCCTACCCGCAGGCTTGCTTTTGATTAATACATCCGGCGCCCTGTCACCCTTCTATATGGTCCACGGGCGCCCCGAAAAGGCAACGCACAATTGCGCAAAGCAGCGATTCGCACGCCCACGGGGGGAAGAGGGGGGGCAAGCTAGGTGCGCTCGCACCACATCTGACATCCGATCCCTCCTAATCCCTTCCCATTCGGCTGATTCGTTTTTTATTCGCGGACGCGTGTTATAGCCGACGTGGAACTCCAACAAGAAGAAGACCCAAGTGTGTTATGCACAATCGGACAGAGGAAGCTGCGTACACAGGAAGGAGAGGTGGCAGGAGAGTAGGATGATGAGCAGTAGGAAAAGGAGAAGGAGATGGAAGAATCATGACGAGGACCAACAGCAGCAACAGGAACTGGAGTGGAAGGAGCGGGAAGAGTAGGAAGACCAGGGGAAGGCGGAGGAGGCAAAATGAGGGGGGCGACAAACATGTACAAGGACTGGGATCCAGAAAACTTGCCCACGCTGGAGCGAGAGCGTCATTCTGAACGACGGGAGCAAATCGCCGATCTAAAAGTGAGGCCCCTGCTACAGCGAGAACAGCATGTTGCGACACCGAGAGCAATCGGATTGCAGAAAAACATAGCAATGACAACCGTTGCCCAATTCTCTGTGCCAAAAAAAACGGGGAGAATAGGCCACCTTCCGGACGGAGTCAGGGGAGAGAGGAAAGTCCCACCAGCCTTCTGGGCGTGAGTGGTTTAGGGAGGCTCCTCTTCCAACCCTCCGATTCCCTTTCGGGGAAAGGTTTATCATCACTGTTCCCTGTTAATATACACCCCCTGCTCCAGGCAACCGGCGGCCAACCAGGAACCCTGATCACCCCCACACACCATCCCCATCAGAAATCCATACTAAACGCACTTTGCCTCCACATTTGGACCATGCGCGGCTAGACCGACGTGGCCCTCCCCATCCATCCCTGTTAATAAACAATGCACAATACAGTTCGGGATGAAATCTTGACTCATGTTCGTGAGGCCCGCGAGCCTGCTGTGCGCAGGGCTACCATCCATAACAAAAAAACATACAAAATGCGCCTCGCGGTTAAATCTGGATATTTCGCGGCCACCCCGCAAAAACTGCCAAGTAGTTTTTGACAGGGACGGCGGGGGTGGTGGCGTATGCCCTGCTGCGCGCAAGCCCACCAAACATAATGATAGGCATTGGTTTTCGACACGGATGGTGGGGGCCGATATGTTTCCCAATGTGTGTTGTCACGTGCGCAGGCGCACCTGACACACTCTGCACGTACCCCGAACGTGGCGCACCTGGCGTAGCTGGCGTATGCGGCACACCTGGCGCACGCGGAGCACGTGGCGCATCTGGCGCAACAGGCGTGCCTGGCACGCTCGGGCCCCAGAGGTGCCTGGCGCGCGTGGCGCGCCTGGCACGGGTGGCGCGCCTCGCCCCAGCGTCGCGCACATGAGGTCGGCTTCGGTTCCCAGTAGCTGCCCATCAAAAGACGGCCGCTGAACATGCTCAGGCTCTGGTGTTACGTATATGTTGGGAAAGCGGGTGGGACTGAGCTAAACGATTTGCTATATAGCGGGTGTCCTGACACCTGCCCCTACCCAATCCGTCTGAACCTGAACCGAAGGTTCCACGGGTCGTTGGAGCGTCCAAAACGGCCACGGTGAAAAAAACATACATTGGTTTTGCGTGGGGTCGGAACCCAGTTGGACCTCCTGGGGGGCTCGCTAAAACGGCACCCCCCCTTCGTTGATCAAACTCCTCCAAAATGCCCCCAGGATGGCCCCCAACGCTTCCAAGAGTGCCCCAGGAGGGCCCCAAGAAGCGGGAGGAGGAGAAGGAAAAGGAGGAGGAGGAGGAGGAAGAGCGAGAGGAGGAGGAGGAGGACGAGGAGGAGGAGGAGGAGGAGGGGAAGGAGGAGCATAAGGAGGAAAAAGATGAAGAAGTGGAAGGGGAATACCACAAGGAGGAGGAGGAGGAAGAGGAGAAGAAAGAGGAGAAATATTGGTGACCGAGGGGGGTCTCGGGGCACTGGCGCGGGATTCTCAAACCCGCACGGGCGCCGTTTCCAATGGAAACGGTTCGCGTCCTCGGGAATTCATCTTTACCCAACTGAAGCCCGACAGGGCCAATATGATCAGGATGTTCTGGTAGTAGATGTGGCATTCCTAGCAGTGGCTCCAAGGAACGTCTTGGGCTCGAGGACCCCCGAGGGACCATGGCAGCAACGTGTACGGCGTCAGCCGTTAAAATATGAGGTTCGACAGTCCGTTAAGCGGATAAGGAAAAGAGAAGGCGCGTTGTCGCGCGCGCATTTTATCTCTAATCCCAAACAGCTGTAGATCAACCAACATATTGTTCAATGTAGCGTAGTAGTGCTTATAAGCGGCGGCAAGAGACGTGTGGCAACGACTCCCCCCGCGGCGGCCCGGCCGCAGCAGCCGGCCAGGGCCGACGTTGCACCATCGGGACCTCACGTCACCGACGGCGCCGAATAGAGGCGGGCGCGGGCGCGAGGCTCACACTGCACACGGCCACCAGCAGCCCGGCTCGCCTCTGCGGATTCACCGTTCCGCCATGGGCGAATGGTGCGCTTACCAATCCCAGCCGTCGCCGCGGCGCCAAGACCAATCCCGGCCGTCGCCGCGGCGGTCTCCTCAGCTGCCGCGACCGCCCTTGCCACGGTCGCCTTTGCCCGCTCCCTTGCTCCCGGCCCGGCGGGAGGAGCCCCTCCACGCACTCCAGGCGTCATTGGCGGAGGCTGGCTGCGCCTCCGATCATGCCATGGGAGAGGGCTGGAGCCGGGCTGGCTGGGCTGAGATGTAGAAGGAGCTTCGCTAATGCGGATTGGCTCGCGCACGTCCGTGTAGCGGCAGGGTCTCGCGGGGGAGAGGGCCCGAACCTATGGGGGGGAGGCGGGCCGAACGAGTCATCATGCCCGCCGCCGCTGCCGCCGAATCGTTCGGCCCCCGCGCCCCTTCCTGAAGCACGGGTTTGTCCAAGCCCCCGAGGGTTTCAATGGAAACGTGGTGCCCTCGGAATCTCGGGGGGGCACGAACCCATGGGGAAAGAGAGGGGAGCCGAAAAGTAATTTTGCTTTCCGCTGCCGCCGCCGAATCGTTCGGTCCCCGTTTCCTTCCCTGCGGGCGCCGGATTATCCAAACCCCCGAGGGCGACGCTTCCGATGGAAGCATTTCGTGCCCTCGAGGTTTCGGGGAGCTCCCGAGCCCATGGGGAGGAAATGGTGGCCAAACCAAGTCGCCTTGACCTCCGCCGCCGCCGCCGAGTCGTTCGGCCCCCCTGTCCCTTCCCGCCGCCGCCGAGTCACTGGGCCCCCACTTCGCCAGCGAATGCATGTCGGAACAAACGCATAACATGTGAAAGTCATCAGCGGGAGGCTGGGATCAACGCATGTCCCGTTGAAGTCGTATTGAAAGAACAGATAGGATTCAATATATCGGCGGAAGGCTGTGGTCGTCGAATTTCCCATCACATTCCAAATGAAACACGCCTGGGTATTACAGATTTCTGCGGGAGGCTGGGATAAGGGAACATCCGACCGCATTCGTATATTAAAACCGAATACACTCATATAATGTTGGTGGATGCTGGTAGTAGCCCGTGCTTTACATTTGCGCAAATGAGATATGCCTTCTGGCTCCACTTGACATTCTAAGTGTTCATATGCACACGATGAATATCATTGCGAATGTTCTGGTTCTCTGATGGACACTGATGGATGTCCTCACTATCGTTTGAGTGGTGTACTGCTTGCTGTTGGAATTCCCCGCAGCTCTTACGCGAAAACCACGTAACGCGAAGTGGTTACGCAAGTGTCGCAGAAAAAAGCAATCCGGTTCTCATGCGCCAGCCGTAAAGCTCAAGTCAAATTGACGGTCACCATTTAGCTGCAGCACAACGCAATTCCCAAATGTCAGAAAAGCAAATCGTACCAATTCCAGCCAGGGCACGAATGTTCTCCCAGAATGAATGCTTACTCGTAGGACGCACATGTGCTTCCAGAGCCGTCTTCAAATGCGGTGCACAGTTAATGATTTGTTATGTTCAAGATGGCTAGGTGTAATTGGTACCATTTTGTTTTTTTACAGGCTGAGAAGTGGCCAGGTCGGTCGTAAATGATGCCAGTCGCTTGGGATTGGTCCGACATGCGGTCCAGGCCCTCCCCCCCTCCCCCGAACTACAATCGTTATCGCTACCAAAAACAAAGCCAGGACAAAGATAACTCCTGGTATCGAGAATCTCCGAGAGCCTGCGGCTCTGAAAGATGTCACGGGCGCCGCGCCCTTCTCAGAGCGTCAAAGCTCTGAGAACATTCCAGAACGCTCTGGAACGGATTTATCCTCGTCCCAACCCCGACGTACGATCGTTACCGCTACCTGTCGGCGACGGGCGAGGGGGAGAAGTGAGAAGGAGAAGGCATTCTCAGAAGGCGGCAGGGCTTCTCGGAAACCCTCGCGTCTTCTGAGAGGCTTCCTGTGTCTTCGGAATGACTTGAAAAACTTCTCAGAACGCCGGGGGGCTTCCGAGCCTTCTGAGAAGGCCCGCCCCTGCTCACTATCACCCCCCGGGCTCGCCGCCGAACCTGGGGGGGTGGGTGTCTGAGACACGAGCGTGACTCGCCAGATGAGTAAAAAAAACAATCTCGAGAGGAGAGGGGGAGCGTTAGGAAGCAACTCGTGGGAGGTAGTTCGTAAGAACGATTCAGGGCTATTGGAACAAACCCAGTTACGGGGACACTAACCCATACTGAGCCGGATTAAACCAGGAAGGAGCCAGAGTAAACGGGAGTAAGCCAGATGCAAAGGGATGAAGCCCGAGAAGCACGGTTTTCGACCGCGAATATACCAGCACCGATGCTGACTTCGACCTCCCACGAGCTGCAACCAAAGGAGCGGGTCCTTGGTGCAGTCCCCAGCTCCGACTCCCCGTGCGCGAAAGCGCAGGTGTTGCCACGTGTGCACCTGCGGCGTGAAGCGAAGTTCTGCCCCCCTGGCTGGCAGCTGGAGAAAGAAGGGAAAGGGGGAGGAGCAGGAGAATGAAGAGGAGGAGGAGGAGGAAGTGGAGGAGGAGGAGGAGGAGGAGGAGGAGAGAGGGGCAGATGGAGGAGGAGGAGGAGGAGGAGAGAAAGGGGAGTGGGATGGAAGAGGGGAGGGGGTGGAGGGAGGAGGCTGTCCGAGGCGCCTGCCCTCCTTCCAGTAGCTGCAGATCTGCGTCTTCGCCCGGGCCGCTTGCCCCTTCCCAGCGCCGGCGGCGCCCGGAAGCGGGGGCGGAGGGGGCGCGAACGCCTCGGGCGGGTCACGGAGGGGGCGGGGTGAGGAGGACGGCGAACGGAGAGAGGGAGGTAGAACGGAGTAAGGATGCGACACGATGCGACGCGATGCGGCCACCGTTGCGGGCAGCGTCCGGGCCTAGCTCAGACCAGGCGGGTGAGGCCGTGGCCTCGAGAATCTGCCTTGTCTGGACACATGCGATGCGAGACACATGCAAAATTTAGGAGAAGAGGCACGGAGGGAGGGCGGAGGAATTCAGGGAGGAAGGGTGGAGGAGAGGGGGGAGAGAGAGAGGACGGAGGGCAAGGAGGGGGGAGGGCGTGGCGCGAAAAATCTCAACACCAACTGCGCACAGCACAGAGGCCCGCCGGGCGTGTTCCAGGCACGGTGTTGGTGCAGTCGTTGCAGAACACCCAACGGGCCAGGATAACTTCATTCCTCCTCTGTCGTCCACCTCCTCCTCCTCCTCCTCCTCCTCCTCCTCCCTCCCTCCCTCCCTCCCTCCCTCCCTCCCTCCCTCCCTCCCTCCCTCCCTCCCTCCTCCCTCCCTCCCTCCCTCCCTCCCTCCCTCCACCACCACCACCACCACCACAACCACCGCCACCACCACCACAACCACCACCACCACCACCACCACCACCACACCATCACCATCTAATCACCATCACATCACATCACCATCACCATCACATCACCATCACCATCACCATCACCACATCATCATCATCATCATCCTCATCATCATCATACATCATCATCATCATCATCATCATCATCATCATCATCAGCATCATCATCTCATCATCATCAGCACAGCAGCAGCATCATCATCAGCATCATCATCATCATCATCATCATCATCATCATCATCAGCAGCAGCAGCAGCAGCAGCATCATCATCCATCATCATCCATCATCATCATCATCATCATCAGCATCATCATCATCACCACATCATCAGCATCATCATCATCATCAGCAGCATCATCATCATCATAATCATCATCATCATAATCATAATCATCATCATCATCATCATCATCATCATCATCATCATCATAATCATCACCATCATCATCAGCATCATCATCATCATCAGCATCATCATCATCACCAACATCATCAGCATCATCATCATCATCAGCAGCATCATCATCATCATAATCATCATCATCATAATCATAATCATCATCATCATCATCATCATCATAATCATCACCATCATCATCAGCATCACCATCATCATCATCATCAGCGGCAGCAGCATCATCATCATCATCATCATCCTCATCCTCATCCTCATCATCATCATCATCATCCTCATCCTCATCCTCATCCTCATCATCATCATCATCATCATCATGATCATCATCATCATCATCATCATCATCATCATCATCATCATCATCATCATCATCATCATCATCATCCCCCTCCTCCTCCTCCTCCTCCTCCTCCTCCTCCGCCTCATCCTCCGACTCGTACTCGTACTTTCCTCCCTCTTCGCTCCTCCTGTCTCTCGTCCGTGTGTTCCTCCTCCTCTTCCTCGTCCTCCTTCTTCTCCTCCTTCTTCTCCTCCTCCTCCTTCCTCCTCCCCCCCTTCATCATCATGATCATCATCATCATCACCACCACCACCACCACCACTATCACCATCATCATCATCATCATCATCATCATCATCATCATCACCATCATCATCATCACCATCACCAGCAGCAGCAGCAACATAATCACCGACATCACCATCATCAGCACCACGATCACCATCATCATCAGCATCGCCATCATCATCAGCAGCATCATCAGCATCGTCATCATCATCATCACTACCGTTACCAGCAGCACCAGCATCATCAGCATCATCATAATCGGCAGCATCATCAGCATCATCATCATCATCATCATTATCATCATCAGCATCATCATGATCATCAGCATCACAAACATCATCATCATCATCAGCAACATCATCATCATCATCATCATCATCATCCTCATCATCATTATCATCAGTATCAGCATCATCATCATAACCATCATCATCAGCCTCCTCCATCACTCACTCACTCCCTCCCTCTCTTCATCGTTCCCTCCCCCGTCCTCATCCTCTAACTCCTTGCCGACTCCTTCTCCCTTCATGCGCTTCTCTTCTCCTACAACCCCCACCCTCCTCCTACCCATCATTCCCCGTTCTCCCACTCCGCTTGCTCCTCCGCGCATCGCATCGCGAGCTCAAGGCCTTTGTCTCTGCAGTCTATCCTCCCCCTCCTCCTCCTCCTCCTCCTCCTCCTCCTCCGCCTCCCCCTCCTCCTCCTCCTCTTCCTCCTCCTCCTCCTCCTCCTCCTCCTCCTCCTCCCCATCCTCCTCCATTCCTTGTCCTTATAACTAACTTCTCGCTGTCGCACCCCGGGGCCAGTTTCTAGGACGGGTCGGGCGTTTCGCCTGAGACTTCCTCGCCACTTAAAACCTTTCATTTAAAACTGCAGCAGTTTCACAAGTGGAGGGCGGGTCGTCTTCAAAATGTGGCTCTCGCCTGAGCGCCGCGCACATTTGTTTAAAACATGTTTCAGGGCTTCGCGGATTGAAAGCGAATGTTTTTCAAAATGTGGATCTCGCCTTAGCGCCGCGCACATTCGTTTTAAAAAATTGCCAGAGCTTCACAGATTGAGGGCGGCTCCTTTCCAAAATGTGGCTCTCGCCTTAGCGCCGCGCACATTCGACTCTAACAATTGCATGAACCAAACGGATTCCCGGTCAACAGTTACCTTGATTCGCGGTGTTGGGGTCCCAGGAATGGCGTTCTGGCACGATTCAAGATCGTCAAGACGCAGCGGTCAGGTTGATCCGCGGCGTTGGAATCACGGGAACAATGTTTGGGCATGCTTCATGGTCTTCACACGGTTGTCAACGAGGCAGTTCCCTGTGGAAATGGAACGCTATAGGGGCCTACGAATGGGGAGCTTGGAGGGAGGGCTTATTCCAACATCTGTGCTGACTCTTGGGTTTACACTGGTCCCCCTCCTCCTCCTCCTCCTCACCATACTCCTCCTCCTCCTCCTCCTCCTCCTCATCCTCCTTATTATCCTCCTTCTCTTCCTTTTATGAGTGTTCTTATTATTATTGTGACTACTACTTTGACTATTATTAGTAATAGTCGTCGTCTAATTATTACGTTTATAGTTATTAATTCCCTTGTTCATAAAATCTTCATTAGTATTACGAGTATTAATACTACTGTCGCTTCCTTATGATTGGCACTGTTCTTATTCGTGCTACTCGTACCCTGCTTAGTATCATCATTATGGTTATTATTCATATGACGGTTGTTAATCGCAATATGTGTCTGCTTCTGCTTCTGGTTATGTTCATTCGTATTGTCATTATTCTTCGCATGATTCATTTTATTATGTGTTAGTGTCATTACTTGCATCCATCATTCTCTTATGTTTCCGAATAGTAAATATCATTCGTGATCTGATTACGATGTTACGTATTATTGTTCTGGTCGTCCGTATTATAAGTGTTCTTACTCATGATACTAGTGTGCTTCGGCGTGCTCCTTTGATTGCTACTATACGTAACAATGTGTTTATTATCATGCTTATGCTTCTGAATATGCTTGTGCTTCTGCATTTTACCATGATGGTTATGATTCTTCTTCTACTCAATATTCATATGATTGGAGTTATCCGTGTCTTTTTTTTGTTATAGTTAAGATTAGTCGTGTTCCTCCTCCTCCTCTTCCTCCGACGCCTCCTCCTCCTCCTCCCCCTCCTCCGGCTCCTCGTCCTCATCCTCCCCCTCCTCCACCTCGTCCTCCTCTTGTGCTCAGCACTCCTCGCAAAACCCATATCATTCGTCCAACACGCTACGACCGTATTAATAATGAAGGAAACCACACATCGGGTGCTACTACTACTACTACTTCTACTATCACTACCACTACTACCACGACTACTACGACCAGTACTACTACTACTACTACTACTACTACTACTACTACTACTACTACTACTACTACTACTACTACTACTACTACTACTACTACTACTACTACTACTACTACTACTACTACTACGACGACGACGACGACGACGACGACGACGACGACTACTACTACTACTACCTACTACTACTACTACGACTACGACTACTACTACTACTACTACTACTACTACTACTACTACTACTACTACTACTACTACTACTACTACTACTACGAACGACTGACCCTAATACTACGACTACTACTACTAACTACTACTACTACTACTACTAACTACTATTGCTACTACTACTACTACTACTACTACTACTTACTACTACTACTACTACTACTACTACTACTACTACCTACTACTACTACTACTACTACTACTACGACTACTACTACTACTACACTACTACTACTACTACTACTACTACTACTACTACTACTACTACTACGACTACTACTACTACTACTACTACTACTACTACTACTTACTACTACTACTACTACTACTACTACTACTACTACTACTACTACTACTACTACTACTACTACTACTACTACTACTACTACTACTACTACTACGACTACTACTACGGATACTACGAGTACGACTCCTTGTACTACTACTACTACTACTACTACTACTACTACTACGACTACTACTACTACTACTACTACTACTACGACTACTAGCACTACTACTACTACTACTAATACTACTACTGCTACTACTACTACTACTACTACTACTACTACTACTACTACTATTACTACTACGACTGACACGACGACTTCTACTACTACTACTACTACAACTACTACTACTACTACTACTACTACTACTACGACTACGACTACTACTACTACTACTACTACTACTACGACTACGACTAGTACGACTTCTTCTACCACGACCTACGACCTACGCCTACGACTACTACTACTACTACTACTACTACTAAGACTACTACTACTACTACTACTTCCAAGGACTCTCATAATACTACGTCTACTACTA